CTGTGTGAGACTGTGTGGTAGGTGTGGCTGTGTGTGAGACGGTGGTAGGTGTGGCTGTGTGTGACACTGTGGTAGATGTGACTGCTGTGAGACTGTAGTACATGTGGCTGTGTGTGAGATGGTGGTAGGTGTGACTGTGAGACTGTGTGGTAGGTGTGACTGTGTGTGAGACAGTGGTAGGTGTGACTGTGTGTGAAACAGTGGTAAGTGGTTGTATGTGAGACGGTGGTAGGTATGACCGTGTGAGACTGTGTAGTAGGTGTGGCTTTATGTGAGACGGTGGTAAGTTTGACTATGTGAGACTGTGTGGTAGGTGTGACTGTGTAGAGACTGTGTGGTTGGTGTGACTGTGTGTGAGACTGAGTGGTAGGTATGACTGTGTGACACTCTGGTAGGTGTGACTGTATGAGACCGTGGTAGGTGTGGCTGTATGTAAGAGTGGTAGGTATGACTGTGTGAGATGGTGGTAGGTGTGACTGTGTGTGAGACTGTGTTAAGTGTGACTGTGTGTGAGACGGTGGTAGGTGTGACTGTGTGTGAGAGTGGTAAGTGGTTGTATGTGAGACAGTGGTTGGTGTGACTGTGTGAGAATGTGTAGTAGGTGTGGCTTTATGTGAGATGGTGGTAAGTTTGACTGTGTGAGACTGTGTGGTAGGTGTGACTGTGTGAGACTGTGTGGTAGGTGTGACTGTGTGTGAGACTGTGTGGTAGGTGTGGCTGTATGTAAGAGTGGTAGGTGTGACTGTGAGATGGTGGTAGGTGTGACTGTGAGACGGTGGTAAGTGTGACTGTGTGTGAGAGTGGTAAGTGGTTGTATGAGACAGTGGTTGGTGTGGCTGTGTGAGAATGTGTAGTAGGTGTGGCTTTATGTGAGATAGTGATTGTGTTACAGTTGTCGTGAGATAGTGATTGTTTAACAGTGGTTGTGAGGCTTATAGTTGTGAGTGATCATTATTGTGGCTGTGTATGTAGTTGTGCTATGGTTGTGTATGTATCATATTGCAGTTCTGTGCAAGATGGTGGCTGTAAGTGTTTTGGGTGTATATGACCATAATATGTCTGTGTGGGAGACGGTGGTTGTGGGTGTTATGGTTGTGTGTGACCATATTGTAGCTGTGGGAGATGGTGGTTGTTAGTGTGGCAGTTGTGTGTGATCATGATGTGGCTGTGTGTGAGACAGTGGTTGTAAGTGTGATGGTAGTGTGTGACCATATGTGGCTGTGTGGGAGATGGTGGTTATGAGTGTAACCATAATATGGCTGTATACAACATAGTGGTTGCATGGGACAGTTGTGTATGACCATATTGTGGCTGTGTGGGAGACGGTAGTTGTGTTAGGGTTGTGTGTGCACCCATGAGTGTGAGGAACTGTGTGACAAGGATGTCACTGTGTATACACCTGTGTTTGTAAGTAGCTACGGTTATGTGTGTGGCTGACGTCTGAGTGCGTATGATCATGTGACTCTACATGGCTGTGGTGAGAGACGGGTGTGTGAGTGACTTGTGAGGCCGTAGTTGTGTGTAGCCATGGTTGTGTGGGGCTGTGTTTGGGTGTGACTGTATGAGGCTGTGATTGTCGGTGTGAGACTGAAGGAATGATGGTGGCTATGACTGCGGTTGTGTGTGTAGCTGTGAGTGTAACTATGTGAAGTTTGGTCAGAAACAGCACTGATTGTGAGACTGTGTGAGGCTTTGGGTGGTAGGTAGCTCTAGTTCCGTGTGTCGTGTGTGAGTGTGGCTGTGTGTGAGGCAGTGGTAAGTGGTTGTATGTGAGACGGTAGTAGGTGTGACTGTTTGAGACTGTGTGGTAGGTGTGACTGTGTGACACTGTGGTAGGTGTGACTGTGTGACACTGTGGTAGGTGTGACTGTGTGTAAGAGTGGTAGGTGTGACTGTGTGTGAGACTGAGTGGTAGGTGTGACTGTGTGAGACTGTGTGGTAGGTATAACTGTGTGTGAGACGGTGGTAGGTGTGACTGTGTGACACTGTGGTAGGTGTGACTTGTGTAAGAGTGGTAGGTGTGGTTGTGTGTGAGGCTGTGGGGTAGGTATGACTGTGTGTGACACTGTGGTAGGTGTGGCTGTGTGACACTGTGGTACGTGTGACTGTGTGTGAGACTGAGTGATAGGTGTGACTGTGTGTGAGACTGAGTGGTAGGTGTGACTGTGTGTGAGACTGAGTGGTAGGTGTGACTGTGTGTGAGACGGTGGTAGGTGTGACTGTGTGACACTGTGGTAGGTGTGACTGTGTGTAAGAGTGGTAGGTGTGGTTGTGTGTGAGGCTGTGGGGTAGGTATGACTGTGTGTGACACTGTGGTAGGTGTGACTGTGTGACACTGTGCTAGGTGTGACTGTGTGAGACTGTGTGGTAGGTGTGACTGTGTGAGACTGTGTGGTAGGTATAACTGTGTGTGAGACTGAGTGGTAGGTGTGACTGTGTGACACTGTGGTAGGTGTGACTGTGTGACACTGTGGTAGGTGTGACTGTGTGACACTGTGGTAGGTGTGACTGTGTGTAAGAGTGGTAGGTGTGGTTGTGTGGGGCTGTGTTTGAGTGTGACTGTATGAGGCTGTGATTGTCGGTGTGAGACTGAAGGAATGACGGTGGCTATGACTGCGGTTGTGTGTGTAGCTGTGAGTGTAACTATGTGAAGTTTGGTCAGAAACACCACTGATGGCGAGACTGTGTGAGGCTTTGGGTGGTAGGTAGCTCTAGTTCCGTGTGTCGTGTGTGAGTGTGGCTGTGTGTGAGGCAGTGGTTGCGTGTCCTTCTGACTGTGGTGTGGCCGTACGTATGACTGACTGCGGTTTCCCACATGGATCTGGTTGGGGGTGACCCGATTCCCACCCGCCTTCCCCACAGTTTACAAGGCCAAGATGGTGAGGAAGGAGCTGTCTACTGACTTCGACGATTACATCATGGTCATCGACCAACTCATCAAATCAGGTCAGACTGCGCATGGTCTTTCCGCCCCTCCCCGCCGCCCCCCCTCCCCACCCGTCCCTCGGCTTAGCACCCTCCCCACCCTCCCCTCCAGGGACCGACGAGGTACAGGTCGGCCAGGAGCGCACGTTCATCAGCCATGTCAAGTGCAGAGACGCCTTGAAGCTGACGGAAGGGAAGCTTTACCTTCTATGGGGTATCTCCTCTGACCTCTGGGGCGAGAAACCCAAGTAAGTACAGCTCTGTGCAGCTAGGGCCGCCCTCCTGTCCGGCCCTTCCGGTCCGACCCACCGGGGCCAAGCTCTTCAGACACGCCCTTCCGGCCCCGCTCTCCGGGACCACGCCCTCCGGGACCACGCCCTCCGGGACCACGCCCTTAAGACCACGCTCCTCCGGGTCCCGCCCTCCAGTCTCCCTACTCACCTCCCTTGGCCTGCTCTTCCTCTCCCACAGCACCAGTTACATCATCGGGAAGGACACCTGGGTGGAGCTGTGGCCTGAAGCCGAGGAGTGTCAGGACGAGGAGAACTCGGAGCTGTGTAAACACCTGGACGAATTCGCCAATGACATGATCTCCTTTGGGTGCTCCAACTGAGCCCCCCAAAACCCCAATAAAGCTTGGATATCTTCCACCTCTACGCCAGAGTCTCTCAAGGTGTTTGTGAGCAGGGAAGGGGCAGCTGGAACACAATTACCATCCTACCTGGAAAAGCTCCCCTGATTTCCACTCCGTCGTCCCGTCCTGTAGTCACCTGCAAGTTCACTAACCTTCTCACGTAATAAGCATTGACCTGCCTCACCTGCACCTAGCCTGAAGTGCACCTGCAGCTTCCCTTAGCTGAGTGCTCATTTGCATTCTTCACCTGCATCCCCACCTACATCACCTCCACTGAGCTCTTACTTCTTGCTCACCTGTCTCCTTATTGCATCCTCACCTGTCTTCTTGCCAACAGTCTTATCTGAATCCTTACTTGCTCTCTCACCTGCACGTGTTTTGCATCCACATCTACATCTTTAAGTTGTATCAGTTTCTTACCTGCTTGTCTACAGTCTCACCTGTCTCCACTTGTGCATTCTTACCTGTATTCTGCCCCAACCACATCTGGGTTCTCACCTCTGTTCTTCTCTATATCTCTTCCTGTGTTCCCCTCACTAACCTTACCTACACTGTTGTTATTATAACTTTTTATTATGATTTGGGTAAAAGTTTACAGAGCAAATCTGCTTTCCATTCAACAATTCATAGATGTTTTGTTTCATGCTACAACAGCAATCCTCATAGCATAAAAACCTCTTCCCACTTCTTCTCCGTGTTTCTTGTTTCCGTATGCTTTTCTTTCCTAGCTTCTGATTTTTCAAAATAATCTTGTATTTTGGGTGCAAGTGTGCAGATTCCCAGTCAGTGATGTCTGCACGTCGTGTTCAGTGATGCTGGTACCATCGCCTTCTGTCGATATCTTCATTATATTCATTCTATTTGTTCTTTCTTCCATTTTTCTAGCCACACAGACGCCAACCTTCTAATCTTTGTTTTAGAGTGACTGTTGACCATTTGGTTTCATAAGATGATACTCTTTTTTAAAAAGAGAGCAGTTATCTTAGGCCAGGTTTTCTATAGACGCAAAACCAGTGAAACTAATTATTTATATTTATATATATAATATATATATAAGTTTGAACTGCAAGGTCGGTGGTTCAAGCTCACCAGCTGCTCCTTGGAAACCCTATACAGGGACGCTATGGATCAGAACCGACTTGATGACACTTACCAACAACATATATAGAGGACTTTATGTTCATAACAGCACATAACCACCACCACCACCATACAGGGTCTCTATGAGTCAGAAACAAATTGATGGCACTTAAAAACCACAATTAACCAAAAGGTTGAGTCCACTCTGCTGTGTGCCATAGAGTTGGTTCCGACTCATAGAGACCCTGTACAGGGTTTCCGAGGCTGTAAAGCTTTACGGGAGCAGAATGCCTCATCTTTCTCCCACGGAACAGCTGGTAGTTTCGAACTGCTGACCTTGTGGTTTGCTGCCCGATTCGTAACCACTACACTACCAGTGCTCCTTTGAGTCCACACAGATATGCCTAAAAGACCTAGTGATCTTTTTTCCTGTGAAGCACAGCTCTATTCTGACACGCATGGGGTTGCTATGGGTCACACTGATTTGATGGCAACCGGTTTGGATCTTGGGGAGGAAGCTGACCCTAACCTCTCTGTCCTGGTTGCCTCAATGGGTCAGGAAAGACTATTTAGTGTGTCTTCCGGGAGGGGGCGCTAAGAGGCCGGCAGGAAGGGGCTGTTTCGGGTCGGAGGACGCGTGGGGGTCTGTGAGCGGGGCCTAGACTGGAGTCAGTAGTCACGGAGGCAGCAGTGGGCTTTGCAGTGGCAGCTTCCTGATTGCTGTGTGGATGGTGACCACCACAGGCTTGTTGGCCACAGGTTTCCAAGGGGTTCCTAGGGTGTTCCGTCCCACAGCACCATTAGTCTCTTGGGAGGAGACAGTGGTGCTTCCGCCGTACAATTCTCACCTTCCACGTAGCGGCTCAAGTTCGATTCCAGACCAAAGCACCTTCCACACAGCGTCCACTCACCACCTGTTTGTCCGTGGAGGTTTGCGTTCTGCTGAAGAGGTTTCAGGGGAGCATACAGACTAAGATTAGGAAGAAAGGCCTGGCCATCTACATTCAAAAACCACCCAATTGATCACACCATGGGGATGGCGCAGTACTGGGCAGTATTACAGTCCACCGTTCAAGGGGTCATCACGACTCAGGGCACCAATGGATCATTGTTGTTGTTGTTAAGTGCTGTTGATTCACAACAACCTGATGTAGTGTTTCTGAGGAGCAGCTGGTGAATTCGAACAGCCGACCTTACAGTTCAATCCGACCTTGTAGTCCAGTGCGTTACCCCACAGGGCCACACCAGGACGCCGAATGTTGGATGGTTGTTGTGCCAACAAGTTTCTTAGACACTGTGTGTGAGTGTGTGTTTGTGCGCATGTGCACGCTGCAAGCACGCTAAGGGTACATCCGGGCTCCACTCTTGATTACAAAACTGCCCTCAGCCTGGAATTCCCCCTCACAGCCCTCTTCTCCTAAGACGCCCCCAGGACCTGGAAACCCCCAACTCCCAACTCCAAGAATATCAGGGAAATACCGTTTTTGTCCGCAAGTAGCACGTACCTTCTACATTTGTTTGATAACCGCTTCCCACTCAGGTATTTTTGTAAGCATGCTATACCAATTTTTTTTTCAAAAGCGATCTCACTGGCCAACCCCCAATTGCTAGTGAGCCCAAAATGCCTGCCTCCCCAAACCAAACAAACCTTGTGCTCCTGTGACAATTCTAACTAAGGACAACCCAGTGTTACCGTCTCCCTAGTGGCAACTGGGGGTTCACTACCAACAGCTCAGACCTGCTTGTATAAATAGTACATCTGATACAGAAGGAGCGGGAAGACCAAAGGGAAAAAAAAAAAAAAATGATGTTACCGGTATTGAGGGTGATGCCCCACAAGGGAAGCTGAAAGGCTGGTATGAGATCAATTTTGGACGGTGTGGGCCAGGAAGGTTCCTGGGAGGCGGTAACTTTTTAGTTGATTCAGAGATGACAAGAAAGGAGCCAGCCATGGGCAAGTGAGCAAAGGGGGAAATGCATCCAGACACAGTGAAGACCATTTGGTGTTTTTTCTATGCTCAAGGGATGGCAAACTTTCTATATAAAAGGCCAGAGTAAAGCTATTAGACTCTGTGGGCCAAGAAGAAAAATCCAGAATATTATGACGACAATGATCATCTTTGTGTCTTAATGCCACAAGGGGGCAGCTTTAATGAACAGAAATTTATTTTCTCTCAGTTTAAGAGGCTAGAAGTCTGAATTTAGAGCACAGGCTCTTAGGGGAAGGCTCTGTCCCCTCTAGAGAAAATGCCTTGTCTCAGCTGCTTCTTGCTTGACCTTCCCTGTCCATCCCCATGTAGCACTAGTGACACCCATCTGCGCTTTCTTGCTTCGGTGCCTAATCTGCTCCTTTTATATCTCAAAAGTGGTTGGCTGACCCATTTGACTTAGCCTGGATGGCTTGATAATCAGAACCCAACTAGAGGAAGATTAAAAACAAAAAAAAC